GATGAACATTCTCACACACAAACCATCAAACCAAATTAACAAACATATTATATTACCTGAGACCACACTGCTGTTGAAAGTGAAGTAACAGAAAAAGATTCCATGCTTTCAGCATCCAACTCAGTGCCCTATCTACTAAAATGTTGAAGCAGAACTATAGTCAAATCAAACTTGGGACTAACAAGGAGGTTATGTTTTACTCCATTTGTGAATCTGTACACATTTGAGGTACCAAGTTTAAAGTGCAATGGGAAAATAAGTTACTCTATTCCTTTTTAAAAGCTCTCAATTGTGGCATGTTATCACTTGCAAGCTAAAACGAAACATTCTCCATAAAAGCCATAAATTGCACACCACAATGGAAAGACTCAAAACGTTTTCTTAGCATAGACTTACAGATGGCAGACTACCCAGGCAGTATTGTTATTGTTGTTAAGTTCTGTGGAGTCGGTTCCGACTCACAGCAAGGGTTTCTCAAGGCCTGAAATCTTCATAAGCAAACAGTCTCCCTCTTTCTCCCATGGAGCAACTGGTGGGCTCGAACTGCAGACCTTGTGGTTCGCACGCAGTCCAGTGCTTATCATATGGAATAAGCACATTATAAGACACATGGAAGAGAGACCATATAAGTGGAGAGAAGTACTAATATTTACAGTAATGCTTAAAGCATGCCAGAGAGCTTCAAAAATCTGTGGAAAAATGAAATTTTTCTACAAAATTTGTGAAGCCCTCTCTTGTTAAGTGCCATCTACTCAGTTCCACCCCACAGCAACCCTGTATAGGGTTGTTTCTGAGGAGCAGCTGGTGAGCTTGAACCACCTACCTTACAGTTCAAGCCGATTTTGCAATCCAGCATGTTATACCACAGCGCCATTTATATACTTCAAAAACAAATATAAAAACAACCTCCAATGGCAACCTGTGGAAAGTTCTAACAAATGCTAAAATCAATCGAGACCCTTCTCATGGTTCCAGTTTTACTAAATCAAGAAATCTGTATGTTTGGCATGGGACTACTCCAAAAGTAATTACATTTACAGAGCAGTGAACAGATTGCTCTGTAAACACTGGAGTATAAACTATAATTTCAAATACTTAAAAAGCATGTATATGTCCATTACATTTGAACTTCTGCACTAACTATAGTTATAGGACTATACTGTCCTGTAGAATGAAGTACTGTTGTACTTTGGTTAATTAAATGGAGTCCTGTTGTGGCACTGTTAAGATAAGCACTGGACTGCTAACTACAAGGCTGGCAGTTCAAACCCACCAGCTGCTTCTTCAAAACCTTATATAGAGTCACTATGATTGGAAACCAACTCTGACAACACTTTAACATTTTTCCTTCTGTCCAACACAATTCAAACAAATCAATGCAACACTGTGTCTAAAAGGTTACACAATATTCTAGTTCTCCATTGATCTTAAAATTGTCAAATCTCTATCTACAAGCCCCCATTCAGGGAGCTTTGCTGCATGGCTTGTACCATTTTGCCAAACAACTTTAAAGTACATATCTCCCCAAACGAACATAAAAAGTCTACACCACAAAGCAAAATGATTAATTCCAGTGTAATTACTTGTAAATAAAAACTAGGAAAAAAGTTGGAAAAAAAAAAAAAAAAAAAAGAGGTGCACCCATGGTAAACTATAGAACCATTCTTCCTACAAATGGCTCTCTGTTCATTCTTACCTTTTTCAAATGAGCTTATATACAACAAACTGATTTTTTTAACACTTTTAGGATAAAACTGTAGTGTAGCTGCTCGGACACCAAAGAAAACTTAAAGGTCTAAAGGGAATGTGACATAACTGGGTAGTCTTGTCTTTAAGAAAAACTGTAATATCCTTTACAAATGAGAAAACTGCATTATTTGTGAAGCTAAAGCTTAATTTTAAATTCAAAGAAACCTCAGTAAAAATCTATTTTCCGTGGATGACAACTGGTCATAGTCTAAGCATGTTCATTAACTGTATTTAATTGTTCATTTTACTTCAAAGGCAACCCAAAAAAGCTGTAATATTAATATGTAATATGGCAAACATTCTAAAATAAAACAATGACTCTCCAAGTCTAAAACTTAAGACTATTTCAAATTACAGAAACTATTAAGATTTGAAAACAACCGGAGTACTGGAGTTACATCTTTCAACTACAAATATAATTGAATCTCATTTAATTTGCCACTCTTATCTCGTGAAACTGAACTACCACAGTGCCCACTAGTCAACAAAGATTTTATAATCTTTTCACATTCTAGTCAAACTCTGACCTAAATTGCCCACATCCCCACCCCACCTCATTTTAATTTTTCCTATGCCTACTGTTTCTGGTCTGCTTTATTTCCAACCAAAAATGGACAGATTTCAGTAGATGAAAAACAGTAAATTTTGTGTGAAATCAAAATTTTTTTGACTAGGTTCTTAAAATAGAATGCAATTAATATAATGATAAATAAGTCAACTATCTGCAAATTACTTATTCACCTGTGGCCCTCCAAACTCCAGTGCTGGTGGATACAAACCCCTGGAAAACTCAAATATGCTCCTAAAGGTGGAAAGATGGACATTTAGGGAGGGGGAGGGTGGGACAAAAAGAACAATACTCAACCTACCAGCCTTCCAAACAGGAGTCATGCAATTGTGAACACATGTAACCAATTATAACTAACATTCTAGATATCACACTGAAAATAGAAATCTGAACAAGCTGTAGTGGTAAGCCACACCAGCTCTCCTCTGAATGGATCCTATCCATTTCATATTAACGTTTCATTTACAAATATGGTTGGTGATAAAGGTCAACAGCTTTGCATAATATACATACAGCACCATGTTTAAATTGTTTTACTTCTAACATTTACAGAATGAGTAAGACATTTAAGACACTTTAAATATACAGTATTTATCAAGTAACCTTTAGCATTAAACTCGGAATTGCAACAGTTTTCATCTTAAAAAGGTCAACAATAAAATAACAGTAATTTTTTCTTGCCCAGATATAAAAGTACATTACTAATATTTAGCTTAAATTGGCCAAACCGAAATTACATGCATTACCACAGATCAAAAGTCTTATTAACAGCATCAGTTTTGCCCAAAGATTACAGACTATGCCTTAAAAGAGTTTATATTATATCCCAGGCACGAATAGCCGACTCTACTAATGTCTAGAATTTCCTGGGGATCAATGGGCAACTAACACAGTCTGCATGTTATGGCTATTGAAACCTTATAAATCAGAAATAAAATTTTAAAAGTTTTACCATTCTTCCCGCTGTGCCGTCGCTGCTTCAGTGTGTCGTGGGGAGGAGTTTGAATGGCTAGGGAATTAACAACCGGTACAGCAACCAATCAAAATTCTAGTTTTAGTTTTTCACATTGTTAGGGTTAAAAACTTTAATTCATTTACACTTCAGTTCAATAATAGATAACTACAAAGGGAACTGCTTTGTGATTTGATAACTGGGGCTAATAGAAAGCTAGCTCCAATATGTACATAATTAACCACTTTGGTGCCTTTGACCAAAGAGAATTCAGAAAACACAAGTTCCCAGATAGTTAAAATATTCTTTTCGTAAACTAGACATAATTAAAGATTACTTTTGTTTAACTAGGAAATGCTAGTTTCCCCTCCCACCACTACTCCCCCCCAAAGCCAGCACACATCAGCTTCAGGACAAGAACGTGGGATTATTAAATCTATCTTCCCCAAGAAGAAAATCGTTGTTTCTAATAGTGGATTAGAGGGACATTTTATTGCTTTTACCTTCCACCTTATTTCTTGTTATAGTGTGTGGGGGGCGGGGGACGGGGGGGACGGGGGTTTCTCTCCTCCATTATAAAAAAGAATGCAAACGGGGAGTAGGAAGCACATTCAACCAAGAAACCTGATTGAGTTCCTGCTGCTAACTCCTTTCCTGTAAGATCCCGCTCCCGAGTGCTGCGTTTTTTCATATACTAAATGCAGCCTTAAGCTCTATATACAAGCACTATTCCAACTAGAGAAAGGAAGTTAGTACTTAAAAGGCTCGTCTCTCCCCACATATCCCTAGCACACAATACAGTGCCTTTCATTCATTTTGTGAAAGAGGGCGGGCAGACCTTTTTAACAGGAACAGAGAGCGGGAAGGAGAAAATCAAGAGACCAAAATGGATTCTGGTCATTCGAAAGCAAAAACCGGGTTTCGTTACAGAAAAGCTGAACAAAAAGAAACCCCTTAGGTTACTTTAACGAAAGTAAGGAGCACAATGGGTCTGAGCAGTTCAAGTTGGGGGCCCCAATAGCAGAGGGCGCGAAAAGGGTGCGCGGTGGGATCCCCTCAGAGGGGTGGGGGACCACCGCGCGAGTCGGGCGCAGGCCCCGCCGCCCAGAACTCGGAGAAGGCGAGCCCACCGAGCACAGCCTGGGCTCAGAGGCGGCTCGGCCACTCGAGCTGACGCCATCTGGCCCGCAGCCTGCGGTACGGGGCCTCGAAGGCAGGTCGTCTTGCGACCACGCCGAGTGCAGGGAACTACCAGGTCAAGGCGAAACTTCCCAAATGCACACAAAAAATCAATAAAAAATCAATACATTCGGCCTGAAACTGAAGCGAGCGGGCGGGTGGGCGGGCCGAGGTGGGCACTACGATCCCTACAAGCATGTGCTTAAGAGAATCTCATCGTCTCAGGACGAAGCGAAAAGCGCCCGAGAATCCTTAGCAAAAAGACAGCAAGAAGCTTATTGTGTTTGTCTGCGTTTTACTAGTGCGGACTCTAGGACATTTTCCAAGGGGATCCCCTGGCCAGGCGGGAAAAATCCGGGTGCAGCCCGGGGACGGCAAGAGCTAGACACGGGGAAGGGAGGGGCGAGAGGCGGGAGGGGAGAAGGAAATGAAGGCCCCGAAGAAAACGGGGCAGCCAGGCTGCATCGGGGCCTGGCCGGGGGTAAGCGGGAATGAGGCCTAATGGTGGCGGAACGACTTGGGCCTGACTATCCTGGACCGCCCCTTACTCACCCTTCATCCTCCTCATTCTTACTGGCGTCGATCTTCGCCCCCTCCGACTCGGCACTGCCCCCTTCGGTGCCTCCGGCTGCGGTTCCGCCCCCGGTCCCGCTTCCCGCCGTCGCCGCCGCCGCCGCTGCTGCCGCTGCCCCCGGCGCCGCCGCCGCCACCATGGCTCCCTCCTGCTCGCCCGCCGAGCCGCCTACCGCCGCCGTTGCCGCCGCCGCCGCCCCGTCCCCGCCGAACTGCTCCTCCGACATAGTGCTACTGCCTCCGCCGCCGCCGAGACTACACCCGCCGCTGCCGCGAACCGAAACTAGCAGCAAAGTAATCCTCGCCGCTGCCGCGCGCTCGCTCTACCTCGCGAAGCACACAAGACAGAGAAGGCGCGCGCGTGGCTGCAAAGGCTCCTGCGCCTCTCCCAGGCCTGCCCCCCTCGCCTCCCACTCTCGCGCGACACACACTCCCGCTCTCTTCGATTGCACTAAAAAAGAATAAGAAGCAGTGGCGGCCGCTCTTGCCTCCTCCTCGCTTTAATGGCGCCGCCGCGGACCACCTAAAATGGCCGACGGAAGAACGGCGCGTCCCGGTCACGTGACGCTAGCGCGCGCCCTTCGCGCCTCCCCCGCCCCCTCCACCGCTAGTTTTTTTTTTTTTTCCCTCTTCCTTCTGGGGCTCGCCCTCTCGCTCGTTTATACCTTCTCTTCACACGCTGCGCCGCGCCGTAAAGCGTGGGGCCTTTAAAAGGAACCGGAAGTGGCGTAAGCTAAAACGGACCGCGCGGAGACCATCGAGAACAAGGAACGCTGTTTCGAACAGGCGGCTAGAGGGGTTCCCTTCCTCTGTCCCCGCCCTTTCGAGTGTTTCTGGAGTCGGCGCTTACCTCCTTCTTCGAGGCCAGTTTGTGGTGGCCCTGCAGGAGAGTGGGATTCCTTTCCCAGAAGACTGCTGTGCACTTTGGACCTGCCGCGTTGGGGTGGTGGCACATTTGGCGGCCCTGTGCCCTGGTACTCCCCACCGTGACGCCTAGGGACTCCGGCTCGTCGTACGCGGAGTAAAGCGCCGTGGTGGCGGGCCAGGCGCGTGCATGGACCGCCGCAGCTCCTCCGCCTGCCTTGCCGCCCGGAGCTCTGTGACATTGACGTCTTCGTCCCTACCGCGCTGCCTGTCCCGAGCTGGCGAGTGGTGAGGCCGAGGCGGCTGACTATTAAAGTTCCTTTTTCCTGTAAGATTAGCTGTTCAATTAGAAGATTTTCGTTTGCCTGCTTTTCTCCTGGAACTTTTTAGGCAAAAAAAAAAAAACACGTAATTTGAATATTTTAAGGAAGCGAGATTGTATTTATTCGAAGATCTGAAAGCCTATCACGATTCTTTTTCAACAAGTGTTGTTTGTTAGCTCAGCCATGGTTTCCTGTAATGTTTTGGGTTGTTGGTGTTTTTTTGTCCTTGTTAAATATAAACTAGGATATATAATTGTCATTAATCGTTTTTACGAAGTTTCCGAGTTTGGAGAGTTCGTTTTTCATTGAACTTTGTTAGGTGCCGAAGAAGCGGTTCTTACTAAACACCTGTTAAGTGCTGTGGATTTGATTTGGAGTCTTTGCTACTTTGTGTATGGTTTCTGGTGTGTCCCTGTAGGATAAGCAGTAGACCATAAGGTCGGTTTGAACCTTAAGGTGCTCCTTCGAAACCGTATACAGGGTCACTATGAGTCGGAACTGACAGCACTCAACAACAATAACAATAAGGTTTCTGAGGAGCGGTTTGTGGGTTCTAACTGCCAACCTTGCGGCTAGGAATCCAGTATGCTTCCTACAGCACCACACTTTGCAGGACCACCGTAAAGCCAAAACTCTTGGCGAATCTACTGATGGGTGTGAACTGTCAGACTTGAGGTGAGAGGGCCAGTAGTAATACACCTTTTAGAAATCCCAGATGCCTTGGATGAAAACTGGACTCTTCAGGCTTGGAATCTGCAACTTCCTGCAATACACCAAAAGGAACATGAAGTTAACAAATAAGTATATGCTTGTTTGGTTTGTATCGAAATGTGCAAAATATATCAAAGAACCCTGAAGAATATTTTAACTATTCCATTGTAATTAAATGAATTTTTACCTGGCACCATTCAAAATTCTGCAGAGCAGATTGAAAATAAGTTTGTTTTAAATAATGAAGTGTTAAATCAGTTTGGATTGCAGAATAACTAAGACTGAAGAATACAGATCAAATTCTGAAAACATCTTTAAAATATATGCTTATCAAACTCCTTTACTAAGCAAATCGCATGGAATAAAGTTTGTCTTGGATCAAATGCCACATGCCAACCAAGAAGAAAGGGATATTGGGCTCAAACCATGTATTACAAGTTTGAGAAAACTAAGAAGAAGATCCAATTGAAAGGAAATTTCTTGACTCTCTTCTAGCTTCAAGAAAGGTTGAGTCCCTGTGATTTCCTTTGGCCTTAAGTCATCACTGGACATATTACTACACTTTTAGTAATAGTGACTTTCCCAAAGTCTTCATTTTAATTTATATGTGACCCAGTAGTTTCTGGGCTTCTGAGAACTTACATTTAAAATTCCAGGTACCTGTGTGTGTATGATGCTATCAGAACTCGTCCTTATTAAGGTCCAAATCTCTGCATTCTATACCCCTACTTGTATTCAGCAGGCCTCTTATTGCATGTCATCAGGTCTGTTCGAACCCATAGCTACCCTGTATATATAGGATTTCTGAAGGTGTAAGTCTTTATGGGAGCAGGAAGCCTCATCTCTTACTCCCATGGAGCAGCTGGTAGATTCAAACTGCAGACCTTAGGATTAGCAGCCCAACGCATACACTACCAGGGATCTTCCTCTTAGAGCTCCAAGGCCTAGTAAATGTCTTTCCATCTTTCAAAACATGCTATTGGAGCATGTTACTACTTCTGCAAAGCCTTCCAAACACTCTGAGGCAGGTTTTCTCCACTTCAGGTCTCAGTGTCCAATTGTACTAGATCTTGAGAACTAAGATGTTTTCTGTGTATATCTTACTACCCCATACAATTAAAAAAAAAAAAAAAACCTAATATAGTGGTACCAGCTGTTCCATGAGAGAAAGATGAAACTTTCTGCTCCTGTAAAGACTTAACAGCCTCGGAAATCCTGTACAGGGTGGGTATGAGTCAGAACCGACTCCACAGCACATAACCACCATCCATGTCAGAGTTGATTCTACCTCCACGTGTTTCAGTCTAGAACTGCACTCCTTAGGGTTTTCAATGACTATAATGTAAAAGTGGTCATCACAATGTTAAGTGCTGTGAAGTCAGTTCTGACTCATAGCAAACTTATTTATGTAGGGTTCACGAGGAACAGCTGATGAGTTTGAACCTCCAACCTTGTGGTTCAAACCAACCTTGAGGTCGAATGATTGATTATCCTAGGGCCCAAATCACCAACCTTTCAGTTAGCTGAGGAGGTGCTGTTTACACCACCCAAAACCAAACCCCGTAACGATTCTGTACAGGATTTCCAATACTGAATATACAAGAGCAGAAGGCCTTATCTTTCTCCCTGGGAGTAGCTGTTGGATTTGAACTGCTTACCTTGCAGCACCGCCAGGGCTCCCTTTGTACCATCCAGGAACCTCAATAATTGTACACTGAATTATTAAAAGACAAAATGTAAAGTATCTCCAACTAGCTAGAATCAGCAAACTAAGTGTGACTCCAGGAAGTTAGAAAGTTACTCTCTCCACCCTCCCGTTTCATCTTTTGCATAACATTTCCCCAAACACACTTGCTGATGCTTGAAATTCATTAAGAAGGACCCAAAAAAACCTTTCTAATCCACATTAATCAGTAAGAATTTTAATGTTTCAAGTGTCTGGAGATGTTAGATTAAAATAGTACATTGAATAGAGCCAAATCACTGGGAAGAAAGTAATATCCCTTCTCAGTTTCCAGGACATAAAAAATTACATTACAACATCCCCAGTGTGTTTCAGATAACACTGAAATGTGGCGGCATTGAATTCAGCCTTTGTGTAGCAATCACTGCAGACACAGTGAGGGCTTCCAAAAGCAAACCCACTGCTACCTAGACTCCAATTCAACAACCCTACCTATGGTTGCCAATACTATAAATATTTATGGGGCAAGAAAGCCTCATCATTCTCCCTGGGAGCAGCCGGTGTAGCTGAACTACCTATCTTGTGTTTAAGGAGCTCTGGTAGCGTAGTGGCTACGAATCGCACTGCTAACTTCAAGGTCGGCAATTCGAAACTAGCGGCTGTTCCGCAGGAGAAAGATGAGGCTTTCTGTTCCTGTAAAGATTTACAGCCTTGGAAACCCTGTGCAGTGTCACTATGGGACAGAACCGACTCCACAGTACTTAACAACAATAAATCTTGTGGTTAGCAGCCCAACAGGAAAGATAAAATTACACTTGCAATTTGAACTGAAATTTTACCCAAGACAAGATACATACACCTAAATCAAGTAGTCACAATTTCAATCAGCTGGATGGTTTAAATTTACACTCTACAAGTGAACGGGTACACCACTTAAATTTTAAAAAGTGGAATTTGCTTTCCAATTGCATGTCCAGAAAAAAATAGGCTGAACCCATTTTTTATACAAAGTACATATTCCTGAGCCTCTTCTAAAGCAGCAATAAACTATCTGGATCCATCTACTCACAGAACACTCTCAGTAGGATTTAAGCATTTTTGTTAATGAACAATTAGCTTGCAATTTTATAAAAGATGACCAATTTTCTACTCAGCCAACATCCCCCATCATTATTTGTGGGTGTCATGAAACTCATTTCACTCAGTAAATTAGAAACCCTATCACTAAATAATGAGCTTTGTTGGCATAGTGGGTTAAGCTCTGGAGTGCTTACTGAAAGGTCAGTAGTTTGAATTCTCAAACTGCTCCAAGGGAACAAGATAAGACTATGCTTTCATAAAAATTTACAGTCTCAGCAGCCCTCTAAAGCGGTCCTACTGTGTCCTACAGGGTTGCAATGAGTCAGAGTCAACTCAACTGCAGTGAGTTTGGGTTATCATTAAATAAGACAGTCTGGTGGCACAGTGGTTGTGTGCTCAGCTGCTAACTGAAAGGTTAGTTCAAACCCACCAGCTGTTCCATGGGAGGAAGCTGTGGCAGTCTTCAGTAAAGACTACAGCCTTGGAAGCAATTAACAAAACCTAGCTGCAGGTTAATGCGTTTGAACCACAAGGTTGACGGTTCAAGGTCATCAGTCATCCTCAGAAACTATACAGGGTCGCTATGAGTCGGAACTGACTCGACAGCACTCTGTGTCTATATATACAACCTATCTGTGTCTACATATACAACCTATTTTTGACATCTCCACAGGCTTAAAATATCCAAAACTGAATTTGACCTTCACAGATCTTCATTGATCTTCCTCTTCTCAATAAATGATACCTCTGTTCATCCATGTCTTTCTGCCAATAAACAGGGAGTTCTGGAATCTATCCCTTTAGACTGCTAACCACAGGGTTGGTGGTTCAAAATCACCAGTTGCTAAGAACCCCTATACAGGCTCACTATGAAA